GTTACTAAATGACGAAAACGTTACAGTTAAAAAAGTAGAGGGGGGGGGGGTTAAGAATTAATAGGGAGAGAGTAAATGAAGAAAGGGGGAGGAAGAGGAACTAAGAGAAGGAATGAGATTGTATAATAAAGAGATAAGATTCATGTAGCGATTCCATGTCATTTTGCCTATTCAAACCTTGTCTTTACTTCTTTATGTGACCATCTCAGATATTAATCGCTTATTATAAGAAGACTCACTAACCAAAATTCTTTATTTTATTCCAAGTAAACTCGTTTAACCCACGGAACTGGCATCACAATCCTCGCAGTATATTTTATAGACAACATCTTAATGAAAAAAAAAATCGAATTGGTCTTTTCCTCTTTTAATATAATTTTTAAGGGTGTTAAGGATGAAATATGCTAATTTTGAGTTCATTTTAAGAGCAATCCGCATAAAGCTTTCAGAAATCGACTTAATATGTGAGATAGAAAAAAATTTGTGAGTAATTTTTATTAGAAGGTTGGACAGGCAGTATTATTTCTGCGAATGTAGTAATTCGATCTACTATGTACGAGTATAATGGAAAAAATTAATTGAAGAGGATAACCATTATCTAAGAAAGTGTGAATAATATTAATAAGATTTTTTTCGTGAAACCTAGGGTAAGATAACAATATGACTCTATCAACAGCCTTCATGATAACGTCTCTCTTATAACAAAGTGAGAATGAAAGTTGAGGAATCTCCCTGAACAAGTCGGCTTCTGAAATCTGTCAAAGATGATTTTTTTGTTGTCAACGATAATATTATAGTAGTAGTATCGAAAAAATTTAATCTGTCATCAACATCAATTTCAAGGGTAAATTGCAGTCTTACATGTAATGAATTAAATACATTCAGAATGTCATCAATCAGAAGGAGCCACCAAGATAATGTCATCCAAGTATCTATAATAAAACAAAGATTGTATTGGCAGATTATCAATAGCCGAAGTTTCTAAATCCTGTAGAACTATTTCACCTATAACTGGAGACAGAGGTGACCCCATAGGAGTAGTACCGAAAATTTGCTTGTAAAAATTATTATTAAAAGAAAAAAAATGTTGAATTCAGAACAAAACGTACGGCAATGAGAAATTCATTTAAAGGTATAGAAGTATTACTTAGCAATGTGATCTCACCTTTTAACAATGCTCTCAGTTGCCAGTTTATGAGAACATTGATAAACAGAGAAACAACATCCAGCAAGGCCAGAACATAGTCATCAGGGTCGAAATCAGAATCATTAAGTTTGTTAATCAAATAGAAACTGTTCTAACCTCAGGAATACTGCCATAAATAATATTGTGTAAAAAAAGAGAAAAATATTAAAATGGACAATTGACAGAAGAAACGATAACTCTCAAAGGATTATCCAGCTTGTGGATTTTAGGTAAGCCGTAAGCTCTGGGTGTATTATTATCATTCATGGTCAGCAATCTTCGATACACACACATCGAATCATCTATAAACCCTCTGTTTTTCCATCTAAAATGTTACGCGGATCATTAATCAACATTTTAGTGGAATCCTTTTCAATTCATTGATAGAAAGAATGTCCTCCATTTTACAATCATGAGCTCTGTCTAACTATCTATAACTTTATATATAAAATATATATAAAAATAAACTTATAATGTATAAAAATAAACTTAACCATAGAAAGATGCAGATTTTTCGTTTTTGCATGAAACGATTGAATTTGGCAAAAATAGTTGTGAAGCGAGATATTAAATCGAATTGATCTTTATCAGTTTAAAACGCTTAGAATGTGTTATTGTCGCTACTACAGCTCGTATCAGATTACCGACTCTGTAGGCCGATCGACAGCCAATTCTGACTATCGACCTATAATGGACCAATCATAATAAGACTAATTGTGATTGGTTCACTGTAGATAGACCTGCAAAGTTGATTGTTTGATGGGTTTTAGTAGCGACAACGGATATATTTTAAGCATTCTAGTCAGTGATCAACTTAAATTAATTTTAACGTTTAATATCTCGCTTTACGGAGCCAGAATGACGCTTTTTTTGGTAGATTCGTTCATTTCATTCAAAATTGCGTTTAATGAGCATAATTTTATTAACATTGGAAGTGAGATAGATAAACTAAATAATTATCCAACATCGTATCGTAAGAAATTTACTAGATACAACAGAAGTACCAACAGCGTCAGGGCTGTGTGGCAGAGCGAAAGTCTACCAACTCGGAGAGACCAGGCCTGGATTCGAGACGAGGAACGCCTTAATATTTTTCTCTGTTGTCGTCAATTGTTTACAGTATTGACTGGTCGAAGGTACATTATCAGTTACTGATTAAAGGTACAACGCTTGCTCACTTTCTATTTGTTAACATAAATATACAAAATTAAAATTCCTTCAAAGTACAATAAATGTATCAATCAAGGCAATAAAAATCTGCGCTGTACTTCGTGCGCTACCAATTGATACAAGTACGAGGTGTGATCAAAAAGTAAGGTGACTTTTTGAATTTCGCGCGCTCTGTACACTCTAATTTAAAAAATTTTTTGTTGTTGTGTTGGTACACTCGTCACGATCATATGTTCACAGTTTTGACTATATAGCATGTGTTGTTTTTATGTGAGAGGCATAAAGGTTAGACTCGTGTTTGCGTGCTCGGCGATTTTTTGCTTTTGAAAATAATGGAGCAGAGAGTTTGTATTAATTTTTGTGTAAAAAATGGTATTAAGTGTTCAAAAACTCTTGAAATGTTGACAGTGGCGTACGGTGAGTCAACTTTGAGCAAAAAAAATGTTTATAAATGGTATAAGTTATTCCAAGAGGGCCGAGAAAATGTTAACGATGAACCTCGCTCTGGACGCCCCAGCACGTCAAAAACCGACGAAAATGTTCAGGAAGTGAAAGAAATTGTGTTGAAAAATCGTCGAATCACGATTAGAGAAATAGCTGATGATCTTAACATATCGTTTGGCTCATGCCAATCAATTTTAACGGATGTTTTGGGTATGACACGTGTGTCAGCGAAATTCGTTCCAAAACTGCTTAATTTTGATCAGAAGCAGCGTCGCATGAACATCGCCCAAGACATGTTGAACGACGTCAATGATGATCCTGATCTGCTCAAAAGGGTTATAACTGGTGACGAAACATGGGTATTATGACGTCGAAACCAAAGCCCAATCATCCCAGTGGAAGAGCCCAGGAGAGCCAAGACCGAAAAAGGCACGCCAAGTTCGTTCGAATGTGAAGGTTTTGCTCACAGTTTTCTTTGATTACCATGGCGTTGTGCATCAAGAATTCCTACCACAAGGTCGTACGGTAAACAAGGAGTATTACCTTGAGGTTATGCGGCGTTTGCGTGAATCAATAAGAAAAAAACGTCCGGAAGTGTGGAAAGAAAATTCATGGATTCTGCACCATGATAATGCACCTGCGCACACGTCGTTACTAGTGAGTAGTTTTTTGGCCAAAAACAATACTATCATCATGCCTCAGCCACCGTATTCACCAGACTTGGCCCCCTGCGACTTTTTCCTCTTCCCAAAATTGAAAAGGCCCATGAAAGGACGAAGATTTGCGACGATTGAGGAGATTAAGGCTGCATCGCTGGAGGAGCTCAAGGCAATACCCAAAAGTGCATTTCAGAAGTGTTTTGACGACTGGAAAAAGCGCTGGCACAAGTGCATTGTATCAGAGGGGGATTATTTTGAAGGGGATAACATAATTTTGGATGAATAAATGAATATTTTTTTATAAAAATGAAAAGTCACCTTACTTTTTGATCACACCTCGTATATAAATATAAAAGATGTTAGATCAAATAATAAAATTAATAATATGTTGTCATGTTATAAAATTAAGAACGAGACGAATAAAACGAAGAACAAGACGTACGTTTTGACTAACTTCTAACCTTCTTCAGCGTTATAAAAAATTATTCTAGTCATGGAGTATAACGTGACCGTTCGCTAACTTCCAACGCAATTATCAGGCAAAAGAAGCTCATCCCAAATCAGTTCGCAAGCTGGATGGTCTAAAGTAATTAACATAATGCGTTAAAATTGTTCGGGATAAAACAAAATCGCAACAACTAACCTGAAAAGTATCGACAGATGAGATTATTTAAAATATATCTACATGAACTATAAAAATCATCCATAACATAACATTCTATTTGGTATTACTTTTATAAATTATAGGTTAAAATTGACAGTATTAAGGTTTAAATAATTTTTTCTGAATATCTATATAACATTTTAGATAATTCCAACATAAGACAATATATATACATTTTATGAGATTTAAAAACGTCTTGAAATTATTTCATTCGAACGTTTGAAAAGAATAAATAATTTTTCATAGCAGTATAATTCTCTTCATTATTATAATTATAAGTTATAAAACACCTTTGATGTTCATACTACAAATTTTTACTTTTATAAATATCTAATAGATTTTTTATAAATTTAAATAGTTAAAGGAACAACCAGTTAAAGAAATACCATGTTCCCCTATATATATATACATAAAATTGACATATT